ATTATTTAATATATTTGTTAATAAATATATAGCTTATATATATATTTAATTGATTTATTTCATAATTGCCCAACTCTACAATTATATTAAATTTAATTAACCAATAGTAATAATAAGTTTAAAATAACAATAAAAATAACAAAACATAACTTAACATAACATAACAATAAAAAGAGTTAAAATAACACACATAAAATAAATTATTTTTTAAAAAATAAATTAATTTTTTTTTTTTTTTTTCTAATTTATTCAAAATAATAACTATCACTATATATTAAATAAAATAACTGTAACAGTATAGAAATGCAATATATTAATGGTAATGAAATTTCACGTCAAAATATTCGTGAGATACACGAATTAGCAGTCTCACCTAAAATACCATGGACCCCAGAGTTAGAAGAGTCTGATACAGATTATTTAATATCAAGTCATACAATAGAATCCATATATATAACAAAAGGAGTATGTGACTTCAGTATTTCACCAGAAAAACTATATGAAATTTTATATAATATAAAACTAAGACATAAAGTATGTAAAAAAAAAAATAAAGAAAAAAAAGAAATAATTAAAAAAATGAAACTAATAATATTTATTATTTATTAGTGGGATTATCATTGTCAACATGCAGAAATTTTAGAAGAATATGATCATTTAAACCATATCATTCATTTAAAATTTACCAATCCATTAATTGACTGTTTAGAAATGAATTTATATAGAAGTTGTAGATATGACCCCCAGGCAAGAGTTTTTGTAATTGCAATGAGATCCATTGAATTAGAAGAAACAAACGAAAACCAATTTGAATGTTTACCAAATGGTTGGGTAATTCAAGGTCTTCAAGGTGAAAAAGATAAATGCAGATTAACTTTCATTCAACAATGTCAAAAAAGAGATATAGATTCACAAAGAGTACCAGGATATAGGTCATTTGATTCTAAAGAAACCCTTCAAGATTTTAAATTTTTAACTTTATTTCCAGCAACAGTTTGTGGTCGTTTAGGAACAATATTTAAATCTCTTGAGCATTTTATTAATAACAACAAAGAGGTTCAAGAGATTCAAGATTCAAGAATTTCAATTATGGAAAAAGCAGAAAAAGAAGTAAATGAAATGTTTGGAACAACAAATCCTGATTATGGTTGGAAAATATATTTAAAGAAATTAGATATGGAAATTTTAATAAAGAAAACTGAAGAAGGTTATTATATGATTGGAAAGGGCAGTTTTTCATCAATCTTTCCTCCATCATTATTGGCTGATGTTTTATATGATCCAAAAAACCCATTTGAATGGGATACCTTTTATGATAAAACCGAACTAATTGAAGATATTAATGCGAATGTTAGAGAAGTCGAAGTAAACTATAGAATGTGGAGAAATACAATTAATATGCGTTTGCTCCAATCCGTTAAAAAAGGTCCAGGTAATTTTTCATCTGTTCATTGGAGATCCATTTCATCACCAGGCTATCAAGTTACTGACGGTATCGAAGTACATTATCTTCCAACTGGTTTATTAAATTATGGTTTGGGTGAAGGTAGTTTTACAAGTTTTTTAGCAGCTATCGAGGTTAAGGGCTATCCAACACCATGGGAACAAGAAATGGTTACTAAATTATTTGCCGCAAGAATCATCTCTAATCAAAATAGTATTATGAATCATGTAAACAAAATTTCAGCATTTTCAAAGTTATCTAAACACTTACCAGTAATTCCAACCATTGAAAATCATTGTGGTGAGGTTGGTCCACAAATCGGTAGTCCCCAAGTTTATAATGAAATGGTTGAAAACTTTGCAAATATTTTATTAAATGACAACAATAAAGATAACAACATTGCATCATCAAAAAACAAAAGAAAGAGAAACGGAACAAGAGATGAAGAAGAAAATGGTGCTGATCTCACCCAACAACAATTGTTACAACAATATCAACATAATGAACAGGCAATGAGACCAAGTTTAAGATTACCTGGTGTAGCTTTAAAGAATGGTTCGATGGAACAAACCCCAATTGCATGGAACGAAAGCAAAAAACAACCATTCCTCTTCTTGGTCTCTGATAGCGGTAGAAAAGGAAAAATCCAAAGAAAATCCTATTATTTTTCAAATTCCTCTTTTGATAATTTGCCAGAAGAACTAATTCATATTATTTTTTTCAACTTATCTGCCAGAGATATTATTAATGTATCACTAGTTTGTAAGAGATTCAAAGTAACAACCGATAACACTAATCTTTGGAAACATTTATTCAAAAACAATCCATCATTCAACAAAAAAATACCAAAGAAAGAAATTTTTAATCCAGCATTTGATAATATAATAATTTCAAACCCAAGCGATCAACAAATGATCGAAAACTCCACACAAATTCCAATGGCAAACGACCAACCTGCAGGTACTGCACCAGTACAACAAACACCATTAGAAATGGCCGGTATAAACATCAATGACCCAATTAGTCTTTTAGTTACTCTCACCAATGGCAACATACCAGTTGATCTTTCAGCCAACGACACTGAAACATTAAGACAATTGATTTCACAAGTTAATTTTACAGATTTTTCAAATATTGATCAAGTATTGGCACAATTACCACCACAAATCATGTCGTTAATACCAATGGAAACTATACAATCAAAAATTCAAGAGATGAAGGCCCTTATGAGAATAATATCTGGAATGCCTCAAACAAACCAAGAAAACCATATGCCTCAAAAATCCAGTGACCATAGAGGAAATTCTGATGAAAGTGATGGTATGAATCGTAAAAATAAAAACAAAGGCTATAGACCATATGATGAATTTATTAACTGGAAAGCTCAATACACTCAAAGATTTAAACAAAGTGACTGTTGGACCAAATTAAAACCAACCAGTAAAATAGAACTTAAAGGTCATACCAAGAGTATAAAATCAGTCAAAACCGAGGGTAATTCTGCTGTATCAATTGCCGCAGAGAAGAAGGTACGTATGTGGAATTTAAATTCTGGTGAATGTATTAGTACATACGAAGAAAGTAATATTTCTCCAATTTCAATTGAATATGATAGAACTCAAAGATCAAATTCAATTTGGCCACTTTCAGATTACACCAAGGTATATGTAGGTTTCAAGAATGGTAGTGTTTCTATTGTTGACTTTTTCGAACAACCAATTAAAGCACATACTTTTAATAGAATGTCATTATTGGCAGATGGTTTTGATTTTAGCTATCATGGAAAATTCTTTATTTGGGAAGAGTCTATCATCGAACTTTGGGATGTAGAATCATCAACTAGATTATGGCAAGAACCTGTATCTCACTCTAAAAAGATTATTCAAACCAAACTCCAACTCCATAGTAGTATTTCAAATGATGGTATTGCTCTTACCACCAGTTCAGATAGAACCGCCAAAATTTGGAATCTTAGTAATGGTCAATTAATTTCATCATTAAATGGACATACCAATGCAGTAAATTGTATCGAATCAATCGGTGACTACATGCTTTTAACTGGCTCCAGTGATAAAACATTAAAGCTCTGGGATTTAAGACAAACCCAAACATTCTTATCAAGTCATGCAACATCTCATACATCTCCAATTAGATGTTTAACATATCAAGAGAAAAATGGTATTGTATTAAGTGGCTCTGATGATGGTTATATTATAGGTTGGAGTTTAGATAATTGGGACTTTTCAAATATTGAACCAATCAATTTGGCACCACCAACACCAGTTGCTCCTCCACCACCAGCCCCAGCTAATCCAGCTGAACCAGCTCAACCAGCCGCTGTAGTTAATAATGTACAACCCACTGTAGCTGTAGCCAATACTCAACAACAAATATTACAAAACCTTCCAAAAATTTCATTAGGCACATTTAAAGAATCATCAAAAATACCTATTAAATCACCAATTACTTGTATTGATTCAGATGAAGCTGGTTTCATTAGTGGTTCATCCAATGGTACCATTTTCAGATGGGATTTTAATAATTAACAAAATTTAATTATTAAAAATATCTTTTTTTTCAAATAAAAAAAAAATAAATAAAAAAGAAATAAAAAAATAAAAAACTATAATAATATTTTATTTTAGATTTTAAAGTATTTTATAAAAATAAATTTTCAGAATAGAAACATCACTGTTACTATATCTATATTTTGTGTATTGACTACATAATTACTATTATGATTATTAGTGTTATTTTTAATATTAATTTTGTTTATATTATTTATAGTATTCGTTGAAATTTTTAAAGTGCTTGTTTTTATTTGTGTGAATTATAATTACAATCTATACAAAAATCTATGTCATAGGTTTGATCAAAACTATGTTCGCAGCAACAGTCACATTTTTGAGAATTGGGTATTGAATTAGAATTACTATTTATGTTAGTATATTATAAAATGAAACAATTATTATATTACTATGATATCTATTTATTAAAACTTACTTTGTGACGCAACAATTTGAACAAACTATATCATTGCAACCTTCACAATAATGGGCACAATGACCGCACATTTTATGATAGCAAGATGGACATTCTCTAAGTTGTCTATTATTACAGCATGATCTGCATGAACCTTGTGTGCAATCACTACAACTGAAATAATCTGAAGGTATATTTGGATGTAAATTTGTAAACTCTACATCTTTAACTGTACTACTATTGACTTTGTTGTTATTATTGTTATTATTATTTTTTTGTGAATTCATTAATATATTTATTGTTCTTTCTATAATATTGTAATTAAAAAAATAAAAAACCAATTTCGGTTAATATCTCTAATTTTAATCGATTCCATTTAATAATTAATTAAATTTTACCTGATATAGTTTCTGTGTCTTGTTTTATATTTTTTATTATTCTCGATGGTTGTACTGTATTTACTGGGTTTGCTTCAGACTCATAGGAGTCTCTTGTTCTTTTTTTGGTTGCCATTTTAAATATAGTATATAAATAAAATGATACTTAATCCTAAATGTAAAATAAAAATAAAATAAAAATAAAATTTAAAAAAAATAAAAATTTCAAATTTTTTAATTTCAAAAAAATTATTAAAAAAGCGCAATTATTTGTGTGTTTTTATTTTTATAATAACTATTATTTTATATTTAATTTATAGTTTTTCGTTTATTCTTTATTTAATTTTTTATTATTTATTATTTTTTTATTGTTTAGTTTTTTTTTTTTTTTTTAAAATAACACACAATTTTTAATTTTAAGTTTGGTTTTAAAAATTTACTTTTCTATTTATATAAATATTTATTTCTACTCTATTTAATTACTCAAATAAATTATGTCATAATTATATTTTCAAAAAAAAAAAAAAAAAAATGAAAAAATTAAAAAATAAAAAAATTAAAATTTTTTTTTAAAATTTTTTTTTTTTATTATTTTTTTTTTCGTTTTTTTATCATCATTTTCATATTAAATTATTTTTTTATTAATAAATAATAAAATATTATTATTATTTATAATATTTAAAAATGATCAAGATTACCAAACCAATATTATCAAGCATTTTACAAAATCAATTTAAATTTAATGCAACACAAACTCAACAAGCTATCAGATATTTTTCAACTTTCCAACAACAAAACAACAACTCTAAACAATCATTATTAAATATAAATCAAAATGTTAACATTAAAGGTTATTCATTTTTCAAAGTTTCACAAAGTGGATTATTCGGTAAACAACAACAATTCAGAGGATATTCATCATACAGTTTAGAAGATGAAAAAAAAATTATTAAAGATACAAAAGAGAAAGAAAAAGAGAAAAAAGAAGAGGAACAAAAAGAAAAAGGAAAAGAAAAAGAAGAAGAGGATGAGGAAGAAAATAGAGAAAAAGAATACAAAGAAGAAGATCAAGAAGTAGAATACGATCTTTTTGGTGAAGTAGAAAATAAAGCACCAAAATTAACTAAAGAACTCAAATTCCAATCTGATCTTATCTATGGTGTTTTTGGATTTTTATTTTTCTCACTTTCAGGAGTTGCCATTTACAATATGATCGAAGAATATAGAAATAGTTCAGTTAATCCACTTGGCATGCCAACATACGATGCTATTCTCTTACTTCAAGATATATACTTTGGTGAATTAAAACCATCAATGGAAAGAGGAAATCCCGATTTCAATACTTTAACCAAAAAAAATTACTTTTATGATGAAGCTGGTGTAAGTGCTTGATTTTTATTATTTTTATTAATTAATTATATTTTATTAATAATTTTTATCAATTATACAATACTATAGATTAGAAATCATTCATCAGCTGATACAACCACTTTAATTGTTCCAATTAAACAAAAGAAAACTCGTCACACTTTAGGAACTGTTAATGTTGATTTTGTCAAAGAAGGTGATTTTATTTCTATCGAAAATTTCTGTATCAATGCAATCAATGGTCACCATTATCCACTCGAAGGACCAACCCATAAAATCGATACTACTTTAGAAAGATATACAGGAAAATATTCTTTAGAAGAACTTTTAACTGACCCAACAATTGGTCTTAATCCAAAAAATTAATAAATGATATAAATAAAATAAAATAAAAAATTTAAAATAAAAACATTCAAAAAAAAAAAATAATATAGTTTTAAAAGAACTATATTTTTTTATTTACATTCAAATTAAAATTATGTTTGTCCATTTAACACCTTTACTTTTTTTTTTTTAAAAAAAAAATTTTAAAAAAAAGATTTTTTTTTATTTTTTTATAAAACAAAAAAAAAAACTTTATAAAAAAACTTATAGTTTTAAAACAAAAAATTGTTATAAACTTTAAAAAAAGTTATAATAATTGTTTAATAAATAATTTTTTATAAAAATGATTAAAATTATTTTATTATTTATTTTTAATGTTTTTATAAATAGTAGTTTTGCTGGAAATTGCGACCCAATTATAAATTCGATATCTCCGATACATCCATCCGAAGAAGGTTTATTGGTATTATTACAAGTAAATCTTTGTAATAAAAGTTTTTCAAACAGTTCACAAGTTAAATTTATTATAGATCAAGAATCATCCATCGATTGTACTGATGTTCAGTTATTAAATGAGACCTCTTCAAATGGTGACCTTATGGTCCAGTGCATGTTTGGGGCATTACCAGATTCACTTGTATCAAATAAAACAGACGTTTTGGAGTCATTCAATTTTAATAGTTTATACAGTGTTCAGTTAAATTATGGATCATCATCACTTTTATATACCAGTTACTTATTTAGTAATTCAATATGCTCTTGTGAACATGGCAGCTGTGCATATGGTGTATGTCTTTGTAATGAACGTTATTATGGTCCAAAGTGTTCATTAAAAGGACTAAAGCATAATGAGGACCCAAATCCTACTGGTGCCACTTATAATACTTTTAAGGTATTTTTAAAGGATGATGTTTTTCGAATAGAAGCAAATGGGTTCCTTCAGGTTGAAAAATTAACAAATGGCCCAAGTATTAAAGGTTTTCAATCTATCAATTCAATGGCTTTATATAATGACTATTCAGATAGTAGCCATTTACACTTTGAAGTTTCACAAGCACTTTCAAAACTTATTACAAAATTAATTTATAATGCAAATTATGTACAAAGTGGCGAGTTAACATCATATTTAATCGGATCAAATAACATTTCAGATAGTTATGGTACCCTTTTACCAGTTTCAAACAATTCAGTATCAGTCTCATTAGAATTTAGATCAGGATCAAATATAGCAGCTTTTGAAAATATGAATATAGAAACTGTTTTCGCTGTTAACAATCCTGATCAAGATCTTAAATTCGAACTTGCAGATAACCAACTTAGTTTAACCATATTTAATGAAAAAACATCATCATACATCACTATTTCGATGTCTGATAGATATTCATCAAATAAGGTTTTGCAACCAAACCATGCTTATATTAGAGTTCTCAATGAATCCGAAGTAATAAATATTTTTAATTCCACAGGTTCAAGATTGATATATTTCTCAATTTGTACACCTCTGCCCGGTCCTACATCAGCTTCATTTAATACAGCATTTGTAATTAATGGATTTAATGTCGAAGAAGTTTTACCATTAAGAGATATTTTAATTATCAGTTTTTCAGTATTATTTGGAGTTTCTATTTGTGCTGTGGGTGTCTTTTTATTCAATAGAAGAAAAAATAAAAACTTTTTAAGGGGATTAAAGATGGAACCATATATAGCAGTACCTCTTATTACATCTGATAGTGATGATGAGGAATTTCTATTAAGACACTAAATAAAAAATAAATAAAATGTAAATTTTAAAAAAACTACTTAACCTAATATATAAAAGAAATATTTCACCTCTTTTTATTCCGACCAAATCAATATGTTAATAATTAAACTGTTGTTATTCTTTTAAATACTTTTTTATATATTATGCAATGATGGTTGCCTTATAAATCATTATTAATTTTTTTTTTGTGGGAAAATTATTAAAATAAAATTAATGATGGATATAAATTAAAATAATTGTTATAATTTTTTAATAATGATGGCACCATCTCTTATTCCTTTTGCAGAAAATTTTTGTGGTAAATTTCATTTTTTTAATTTTATAAAATTATTATTTTTTTTAATTAAAATTTTTTTTTTTCTTAATTTTTTTTTTGTGGTGTGTGGGGGAATTTTTATTTTTTTATTTTTTCATTTTTTTTTCGTTTTATCAATATACAAATAATTATATACATTTATTTATTTTTTATAATAGTCAATAATAAAAATTAATAATAGCAATAATTTTTTATATAGATAAAATAAATACAACTTCAAATAATTAATAATAATTTCAAAACTTTCACACTCTATTCTTTAATAGATCACTAAAATAAAAAAAATGAACGATTATTTAGTTTTATTTTGTCAAACCATTATCACATTGGTTATTTCCTTCTTATTTGGTTTGGGTTTAATCAAATACTATTTCAACAACAAAGGCAACTACTATGGCAACTACAATAACAACTGCAATGGCAACAACAATGACAACCACAGCTACAATTACAATATTAGAGGACCATCAAACTACCCTGCATTCAACCAATGCGAGTCTCGTCATTCCGTTTCAGGTGCACCACAATCGAGCAGCAATCCAGAATCAGGTCATATAAATAAAAGGGAACCATCTGACTACCCAGCTTTCAATCAAAGCGAGTCTCGTCATTCCGTTTCATGTGCAACACAGTCAAATGATAATCAAGAATCAGGTCATTTACATAAAAGAGCCTCATCAAGCTACCCAACATTTAACCAGGATGAAGCACGTCATTCCGTTTCTGGTTCACCACAATCATACCAAAACCCAGAATCACCATATCAATGTAATGGGGAAAATTTCAATGGTGAACCACCATGTGTTGAGGAGTATGATGAGGATAGCGGAGAATGGGTTCCATATTCTAACATTAATTAAAGTTAGAAATAAAAATAATAAACAAAGGGTCAATTTATTTTACTGCATCATCAACTACACTCAATGTCATTGCAGAATAACCAAATCATTTAACATTTATACCATTGCAAGTCCAATCGATAATGCCAATTTTGAAATAAGTGAATATTTGTTTAATAACCTCCAAGCACAAGTAAGTATTGTCACATTAAAACAAAAAAAAAAACCCAATATTTGAAATAAATATTTAGGAAATGTGGAAACTGAAAACACTAATATTAACATATTAATTATTTATTTTTAAAAAATAGTTATACCAATTTAAAGCCAATTACCAAGTTTTCCTTCATGATCTGCTCGCTACTATTTTTAAACTAAATAAAGAATTAATAATGGTCTATTCGTACCCAAGCCAGTCAGTTGCAATTCAATTAAACCCAATTCTTCTCATATTCTTTAAAGATCGAGTAAATAAGCTTATAAAAACTCAAATTAATATATAATCAAGTGTTGATCAAATACAATTCTATCCAAATTCAAAGAATACCACCCGCCCTTAAGACAACGTTTCTGTGTTTATAAGACGAAACCGAATTTTTTTGAAAACAACTAGGAAAGTTATCTTACTCGATTTTGCCAAATTAATTAAAAATTTTACACAAAGTTTATAAAGAAATTTTCTTAAGTTAGATTAAATTATTTCAGAACGTTAAATGCACCTAAATACTGAACAGTCGGTTCCATTAGAGATAAATTTACCTTTAGAGGTAATAACATCCAATATAATAATAATCAAAATAATAATAATCATTGGTAACAATAATATTATAACAAAGTTTCAATATTTCAATATAATCAACTATTTAAAGAAAATCTATTATTTTGTCCTGGCCAGGCAAATGCGATATAACTAAATAGTTTTATAAAGAAATAATTGTCCATATGGTTTTATCACTCAAGATCGAATATGTCGTTCAACATCAATATTGATACCATTACCTACATTATTTGGTTAAGACAGAATTCCATCAAATGTTAATATCAAGATTATGGAATTATATATAAATAAGAATTATTTATTCATGTGACCTTAAAACATTTTCAGTTGTTTATAATTTAAATCAAAAGCAGTGTACTAAACTAGTTTCAAATCTATTAGAATACTCAAAAATCTTTTCAATAGTAGATTGCTGAACCATCAAATGAGTCAAAGAAAATAAATAGTTTCAGGATAACTAATTTCAATAATAGTAATAGCTTTTTGAACAACATTCCACTAGGTAGAACATTCATTTGTTTTAGATAAATAAAAACCCACACAAATTTTAAAAATTTGGTCCGTGGTGTTTATTTTATTTTTACTTATTTACATTTTTAAAACTTTTTTTTTTTTCTATTCATCCAAAACAAATAAATTTTTTTTTTTAAATAGGCTGAATGTAAGAATAAATAAACTTTAGGTTATTAATAAAAATATAGTTTTTATTTAAATTAAAAAATAATTTCTTTTTTTAAAATAAAGAAAAAATTTGGAAAAATAAAATTTTTTATTTTTTTATTTTATTTTTCTAAATTTTATTTTGTTTGTGGTTATTAAAAAATAAATATTTAAATAGAATTTCGTTGAAAATTAAATATAAAATAATATGAATATCTAGGTACTTTTTCAATAGGTTTTCTATTGTTTTTGCATGAATCTTTCAATTTTTAATTCTATTATTGAAATTACTCATATTAAAAATAAAAAGTATTTATAATATTATTTTTTTTTTTTTTTATTCATTCAAAAAATTTATTTTATTATTTATATATAGCAAAAAATTATATATACATTTTATTTATTTTATTATAGTTTATATATTTAAAATTTATTATTTATTTTTATTAATTTTATTATTAACAAGAAAAAAAAAAAATGTCAAGTATTGGTATTGATTTAGGTACAACTTATTCCTGTGTTGCAGTTTATCAAAATGGCAAAGTTGAGATTATTGCAAACGATTCTGGTAATCGTACAACACCATCTTATGTTGCTTTTAATAGCCAAGAGCGTTTAATTGGTGATGGAGCAAAGAACCAAGTGGCCATGAACCCAGAGAATACGGTCTTTGATGCAAAGAGATTAATTGGTCGTAAATTTTCGGAAAAAGAGGTTCAAAGTGATATGAAGCATTGGCCTTTTAAAGTTGTACAAAAAGAAGGTGACAAGCCTTATATTCGTGTTCAATATAAAGAAGAAACCAAAGATTTTACACCAGAGGAAATTAGCTCGATGGTTTTATCTAAAATGAAAACTATTGCCGAAGATTATCTTGGTAAAACTGTTGATAAGGCCGTAATTACTGTTCCTGCTTATTTTAATGATGCACAACGTCAAGCTACCAAAGATGCCGGTACAATTGCCAATTTATCTGTACAACGTATTATTAATGAACCTAGCGCTGCTGCTATTGCTTATGGTTTGGAGAAGGTTAAAGATGGGGAAAAGAATATTTTAATCTTTGATTTGGGTGGTGGTACATTTGATGTTTCCGTTTTAACAATTGACGATGGTGTATTTGAGGTTCGTGCAACAGCTGGTGATACTCATTTGGGCGGTGAAGATTTTGATAACCGTCTTGTCAATCACTTTGTCGAAGAGTTTAAAAGAAAGCATAAAAAAGATATTATGTCAAACCAACGTAGTCTTCGTCGTTTAAGAACAGCTTGTGAACGTGCCAAAAGAACTCTTTCATCATCTACCCAGGCTTCAGTAGAAATAGACTCTTTATTTGATGGTATTGATTTCTACACATCTATCACAAGAGCTCGTTTTGAAGAGCTTTGTTCCGACCTTTTCCGTAAATGTATTGAGCCTGTTGAAATAGCTATTAAAGATTCGAAACTAGACAAGAAGTCAATCCATGAAGTTGTTTTAGTTGGTGGCTCAACACGTATTCCAAAGGTCCAGCAGCTATTACAAGACTTTTTCAATGGTAAAGCTTTAAACAAATCGATTAACCCAGATGAAGCTGTAGCCTATGGTGCAGCTGTCCAAGCATCAATTCTTTCCAACGACGATGACAGGGTCAAAGGTTGTGTTTTCTTAGATGTTGCACCATTATCTTTGGGTTTGGAAACTGCTGGTGGTGTTATGACAACTCTTATTCCACGTAATACTATAATTCCATGCAAAAAGAAGCAAACATTCTCAACTAACGCTGACAACCAAAATGGAGTTTTAATTCAAATCTACGAAGGTGAACGTGCAATGACTAGAGATAACAACAAGTTGGGTACTTTTGAATTAAGTGGAATCCCACCGGCCCCTCGTGGTGTGCCCCAAATTGAAGTCCAGTATGATGTTGATGCGAATGGAATTTTAAATGTTACTGCTGTTGAAAAGGGAACAGGAGAGACTAAGAAAATCACCATCACTCGTGATAAGAATAACATTTCTCTTGCTGATATTGAAAAGATGGTCCAAGAAGCCGAGAGATTTAAAGAAGAAGACAAAACCATGCGTGAATTGATAGAATCTAAGAACAAACTTGAAAACTATGCATACACCGTTGGCAACTCTATTAAAGATGATAATATCTCTTCAAAACTATCCCAGGATGATAGGGCTACAGTTGAAAGTGCACTTGAAAAAGCATTAACATTTGTTAACCAGTCAAGCTTGAATGCAAGTAAATCTGAATATGAAAATGAAATGAAGAAATTGGAATCTATAGTCAATCCAATAATGACAAAATTGTACCAACAAAACCCAAATTATGAAAATAACCCAAGTTATGAAAAAAACCCATCTTCAACTGAAGAAGAATTGGATTAATTAAATAATATTATTTTAAAAAAAAAAAAAAAAAAAAATTTATAAACAATTTTTTTAAATAAATAAATAATTCTTCTTTTCATTAATTTTTTTTATTTTATTATATGTTCATTTCAAATATATTTATTAATACATTTTTTTTTTTAAATATGGATATTTTCCTTTATTGATTTAACTTTATCATATTAACCATGACAATAATGGATTTGAAAAATAAATGAATGGGGGAAAAATGAAAAAAATAAATAAATTGAAAAATCAAAAAAAAAAAAAATCAAAAAAAAAAAAAATAAAATTATATTAATTTTTTTTTTTTTTTTTTTTAAAATTTATATTTCATTTTAGGAACAAACATACAAACACAAATTTAAAAATGACCACACCACCAAATAAAATGGTTTTTGTAATGGTTGATGGTATTGGAGATACATCATTACCACAATATCAAAGAAAAACAACACTTCAAGAAGCAAATACTCCAACAATGGATGCTATGGCATTTGGTGGTATTAATGGTGCAATGGATCCAGTAGAACCAGGTTATGCATGTGGTAGTGATACTGCCCATCTTTCAATTCTAGGTTATGATCCAAGAACCTATTATAGAGGCAGAGGTGCATTTGAATCAATGGGTGCTGGTTTGGAAATGGTTCCTGGTGATATTGCTTTTAAAGTAAATACAAACTAGTTTCATTTTAAATAAACTATTGGAGTCTTTATTGTATACTAATACCATCTCATTTTTCAATATACTAGTCAAACTTTGCAACTTTAGATACAAAAACAGGTATTGTACTTCAAAGAAGAGCTGATAGAAATTTTGAACATCTTGGACCAATTTTATGTGATTATTTAACTGGAATGTAAATATAATCCAATCATAAATATCTTTTATTTAATAATAATTTTAAATACTTTTATTAATATTTTTATAGTAAATTACCATCATTCCCAGATTATAGAGTAGATGTTAAATATGCAACCGAGCATAGATGTGGTGTTAGAGTTAGAGGTCCACATCTTACTGATGCAATCAGCGGTACTGACCCACTTAAAGATAATTTACCATTATTACAAGCAAAACCATTAAACGACTGTCATGATGCCATTTTAACTAGTAAAGTAAGTACCTGCAATAATATACATTATAATGTATAATATCTAATTTACGTAATAATATAGATTGTAAACGAACTTTCAACTGAAATTCAAAAAGCATTAGAAAATCATCCAATTAATGTAGAAAGAAGAAAACAGGGTTTAGCAGCAGCAAATGTTGTATTATTACGTGGTTGTGGAGTTTGCGTTGATGCACCAACATTCGAACAAAAGTATAAAATGTCAGCATTCATGATTGCACCAACTTGTATTATTGCTGGTTTAGGTATGTCAATTAAAATCGATATCGTTGATGCACCTGGTGCCACTGGAGACTATCATACAAATTTACAAGCAAAAGCAGATACTCTTTTAGAGAATTTATTAGAAGATTCAAATAAATATCAATTTGGTTTCCTTCATGTTAAAGCTGTTGATGATGCAGGTCACGATAAAAATGCACCACTCAAAATTGAATTTTTAGAAAAAGTTGATAAAATGTTATCATTTATTATTACAAAATTATCAGAAGCTCAAAGAAATAAAAAAGGAAATGTTTGTATACTTTTTATATCATCATCATCGACATCATCATTATCAGCATCATTTACTAATTTTTTTATTTTAGTTCACAATTTGTTTAACAGGTGATCATTCAACACCAGTTTTAACAGGTGATCATTCATATGAACCAGTACCATTCACAATTACCAAAGTTACTAATGCCGATAAAATTATAAATAATCCAAATAATGAAACATTTGTCAAAAATCCAAATGATTTCATTGATAATGTTAATAAATTTTCAGAAATTGATTGTATTGGTGGTGTTCTCGGTAGATTCCCTGGTTCACAAGTTATGAACATTATTTGCCAATATATGAATAATTAACAATAAATAAAATTTTATTAATAAAACTATAAAAAAAAAAAAAAAAACCTTTTAATGCATTTTATGTATTTGTATTTATATTTATATTTTTATTTTTATTTTATTAATTTATTAACCATTTAAATTTTCAGCATTAGCAATATTAAATAAGAAAGTACTCATACTACTTGGTAATTTTCTTGCTTCTAAAGATTCAATCGTTATTGGTGCAGCTTTACCAGTTTCTTCATTAACTTCTTTAAGTGATTCTAATTTTGTTAATAAATCTTTCATTTTTTGATTTAAACCTTTAATAACTTGTTGATCGGTAACTTCTTCATCTTCTAATGATGCTAATAAAAATTTCAAAACATCCTTATGTAATGATGATAATAAAAATTGATCTTTAGCATGTGATGCAATTGTAACCTCTTTTGAACTTACTATTTTTTAAAAAAATTAATAAATTAATAAAATTATATAAATAAATTAAATAGTAATATTATAATAATAATAATAATAATAATAATAATAATTACAATCAACTAAAATATCATAAAGTTCTTCTCTTGATTTAATTGATGGATCAGTAAAACCAGCAACATATACACCAGTAGTTGTTAAATCTTTTAATTCTACATCATTAATTGTAACATATGGACGAAGGATATTCCAATTTTGACGATGGAAAACAAAGAGTGGAAAAGCTCTAATTACCTTTAAGAGAGAAGCTAATTTTTCAGAATAGACAGCAATACGCTTTTTCATTGCCATTGCACTCCAAACCAAAATGATTTCTTCACCAAATAATTGAATTACATCTTTAATATTGGTTGATAAATAACTTCTACGAACATCAAAATTGCTATCCACAAATTTACCCATTGCACCAACATCGAATTGACCTCTATTGAAAACACGTAATTGACACTCTAGTAATTTTGAACAATCACCTGTCATTTTATAAACATTTGACATAATTTGAGCTAATGATCCGTACTTTTCTGGATTAAAATGATTTCTAACTAAAACTACACTAAATGCTACAACTCTTTTTAAACAGTCTGGAATACTTGGTGGTTGTTGTCCATCTTGTGCTGCTGGTTGTTGATCAACTGCTGTTGTATAAATATATATCCATTGATTCTTAAATTTGCTAAAACTAAATTGTAAAGAAATCTTATCTTGTAATAATGATGTTCTTTGTAATATTACACTTCTTAATGTTTCATCTAAACTTGGGAAACACCAAGTTAAAAGTACATCAGAATTTAAATCTTTTTCGAAAATTGTTACAGAATCTTCTAATGAAATTGATGTTGTTGTCATTATTAATTTTATAAATATAATAATAAACAAATAATAATAATAAATAATTTAAAAATATTAATAAAATTAAAAAAAAAAAAAAAAAAATAATAAAAAAATAAAAAAAAATAAAATATCATGAAAAATAAAAAAAAATAAAAAAAAAAAATAAAATTTAAAAAATAAAAAAATATAAAAAGAAAAGTTTTTGAAACCTTTTTTTTAAATAAGCAAAGTATTATTGCTTATATAAAAATAACTATTTTTTATTATTAATCTTAGTTATTCCTCTAATGATGGTGTTATTTCGACTTCTAAATTATTTTTGGATTGGTTTGGTTTTATATTTAAAGTAAATTTAATTTTTTTTTGATTATTTAATTTAAATATAAAATCTTTAACCCTATCTTTATAATTATCATTATTATTATTATCATTATTAGTTAAAATACTATTTTTAAAATCTAATGAAATCCTATCATAATCCATAACAAAATTTGAAACTTTATTGAATATTAATTCGTTTGTTAATTTTTCAATAGCACGAAAATTTTCATTTGAATATAATGATTCCATTTTTTGATAAATGATTGATAATACCAACTCTTTTTCGGAAATGTATAAAGCATCTATTAGCTTTTCACCACAGAAATGATTGATAATTTGTTTTTCTATTGCTTGATTTACAAAATCTTTACCTAATGGAAGGAATGGTATACTATTTGTAATTAGATTTGAAAATTTATTATTATTATAAACCATTTTAAATAATTTTGATGCTTTTTCTTTTATTTGTTCTATTGATTTCCTATTTGTAGCACCTTCTTTTTCAAAATCTGATGTTAATATATATGTGGCTAAGGATGTTTTAACTTTTTCTATTTTGGATTTGTTTTTATATTTATTATTATTATTATTGTTTTTATTATTGTTATCATTATTATCATTATCATTATTATTATGATTATTTTTTTTATCTTGAGTAAAAAATTCGTCTTCCATAAATTCATCTTCGATGATATCATTGTTTTCATTCAAATATATTTCTAAATCTTCTCCATCAAAGAATGGTTCGAGAATACTGATAATATCTGGATGTACCTTTTGAATTTCGTCCAATACAATAACGGAATTTGGACACCTATATAATCTATTTAAAATTGTATTGTACAGTCTATTTCTAAGATATTGAACTTTTTGATTTAAATCTTGAACTTTTTGTTGAAGTTGTTCGCTATCTGTTGTTTGAATATCATAATCTATAATTCTGTATTTTTCACCATTTATTGAAAAGTAACCATCTCCTTGTAAACCACTACCTTTTTCAAAGAGAACCCTTGAAATAAGCTTTGCAGAAAGACTTTTACCAACACCAAAGTCACCAAAGAAATGTAAAACCGCTCTACTTTCTGGATTTCTATATTTACTATATAAAACTGATTCTATTTCTTGAACTGAATAATTTTGAAATATTATGAATCTATTAAAATAATACTGAAATGAATTTTTTATTTCATTTTTATCTTTTCTAAAAGAGCACTCTTTTTTTTTTGAACCCAAAAAATTTGAAAAATTTGAAAGAATTGATTTATCGCCATCATCTTGTTCTATAATACCATTGCATTGATTATTACTTTTATCTATATATAAATTATTAATATTGTTATTACTATGAATTACTCCAAACAAATGGTTGTTATCTATATCGTTTCCCCCATAGTTGCTACTAATATCTGCCTCTTTCGAAAAAATAATAGATATAAAATATAAAAACAAATAAATAATAATGCTTTTATTCATTTTTATGTATTGAAAAAAATTAAAAAAATAAAAAAAAAAATAATTTTAAAAAAATAAAATTAATTTAAAAAAATAATTTTAAAAATTAAATTTTATTATAATAAATTTAAAAATCAAATTCCTTTTTTGAAAATGATACCATTGATTTTATCAATTATTTAAAATTTTTATATATTGGTATTCTTTTACTTAAAATTATTAATTTTTTATGGTGTTGATTTTATTTAGTAAAAAATTTGTAAAAATTAAATCTTTTAATTTAGATCTATATCTTTTATTATATAGTTTAAACTAGTTAAATAAAATTATAATTTAAAATAATATTTTAAATTTTAAAAATGATCCAAAATAATATATCAATAAAAAAAAAAAAAATAATAAAAACATTTTATTTAAAAAATAAAAAATTATAAAATACACTATAAAAAAATAATCAATAAAATAAAATGGTAAAAATAAAAACCATAGTTTTTATATTTTTAGTTTTTGTAGTTTTAATAAATGGTTTGGAAAATTCTAAATGTAAGTTAAAAATTTTTTTGTAAAAAAAAAAAAAAATACATAGAATAAAAAACTAATTTTTATATTATTTAATAATAGGGAAAAAAATTAATAAATTTAATTCCAATATTAATAATGAGAATATTTTATATAATAACGAAACTCAATCTATAATAATATATAATTCAAACTCAGTTTATATTAATTACATAATACCACTAAAACCAATTTATCCAATCAAATTAAATATTACAATGAATATGATAAAATATTGTGCAATATTTAAAAATATATTATATGTAAATGGGAAAACCCTGGAAACAGATTCATCCTATTCATTAGAATTAATAAATTTAAACACAACAAAAACCATTAAAATATTTAATAATATACAAAGTTCTGAATTTAAATCAATAAAAGTAATAAATGAAGAAAGAATTATATATATCGAAGATGATCGTCAAATAACAATTTTTAATTTAAATAAAAATGAAATAGAAAATTCGTTTGGAAAAGAACAATTAAATAGCGCACCAAAACAAATAGATATTAACTATAAAAATTTGAATGTATTCATATTGGGCCAAGATTCAAACATTAAATTATTTAATTTGGATAATGGTACTTTTATAGGTGATGTTGTTTTTTATAAAGATTTAGGAAATACACCATTCGATCAAACCAATGATATTAAATCTATACAATTTGAACCAAATGATAATATTTTATATTTAAATTTTGGTGATTTTATATATGGTTTTAAAAATTCAATCATTACAACAAATCCACAACAACAACAACAAAAAGAAATAAATTTTAGAATAGTAAACTCGATAACTATATCAAATGATTTAATGATTGGAAAAAATGAAAATGAAATAATCATTGTAAATGGTTTTAAAATTGAAATCTATAAATATAATGTTCCAATTATAAAGACAACAAAATACAATGAAGGTAAAATAGAAATTATTGGTAAAAATTTAAAAAATATTACAAGTATTTATTTTTTAAATGATAAAGATAATGAATGTTTAGATATATATAATGATAATGGTGAATATATTACATGCAACTACAGTCAAATTAAAACCAAATTTAAATCTGATGAATCATATGAACTAGCGGTAATTTTTGAAACAAATAATGGTGATAGTAATGAAGGTAATATAAACTATGTGACAGGCCAATTGGAATATACCGATGATGGTTGTGAAGAAGGTTTTTGGTATGATAAGGCATCGCATGTTTGTAAAAGATTAAAAATAAATAATATTACAATCAGCAAATGTAGTTTTAATGGTATTATAATTTCGAAAATTGGCACCTGCCCTAAACTATGGAGACCACTATCTAAAAGGGAAGAGTCGTTAAGAGATAACCCAATATTTAAATTTCAAAACTGTCTTGCTGGTAACCTAAAAATGATTAGTGAAATAGATTTAGTAAATTCTAGAAATGTAAATACATTTGTATCAAATGAAACTTTATGCAAATACTATATTGAAAAACCTACCTATATTGATATATCTAAAGCCTTGACAATATACCACTTTAATTGCTTTGATATGTATGGAACCAAAAGTATTATTCAAAGAAACACACCAATTATACCGGAAGAATGTAATATTACAAATACTGAAAAGGATCTAGATATTTTTGTAAATAAAATTGACCTATGGTCAATTGGTAAAAGATGTTTAAATGGTGTTAGAAAAATAATTGGTAAATCATCTACCATTTGTGAATGTAATAAAGAATGGAGTGGTCCACAATGTGATGTACATATGTGCTTACCTGGATTTACACTTAATAATGAAACTGGAGTTTGTATTTGTAATAGACACTGTAATCACAATGAATATGAAATATTGGATCCCTCTACCTGTACCTGTATCTGCGATTTATCTAAACCCTTCCGTTGTGCAAATGGTTTATGCTCTGATTCTGTATCTACTTGTTTAAATGACTTTGACCAATTTAAGTGTGACCACAACTATCCTTTTAAATGTTTAAATGGTGGATGCTATTCATCACCCAATGAATGTAAATCAAGTATACCTGAATGCTTGACTAAAGAATGCTGCTGGAATGGTTTGTTAAAATCCAATGATAAGCATACAACCAAAGCTGAATGTCCAATATTACCTAGTTGTCCAAAAAAGTATCCATTTAGATGTATCGATGGTACCTGTAAACTTAGTGTAAAACAATGTTTAACCAAATCATTGGTACTTTTAAACCACTGCAATAGTACACAAGTGTGTCCTGATGGTTCATGCCCGCCCTGTTCAAACTATGACGGATGTCCACTGTCACTACCTATTCTTTGTTCCAATGGTGAATGTACCAAAACCAACTCCTCCAATTGCAAATACGGCATTATTGATAGAATTACCTCTAACGAACTATTACCAGATATTACAGATCCAATAAACTATCTAAAAGCTGAAACCCTACAAATGTTTTATCCCATATCCAATGATATTAAAAACAATGATTTACTACCTATCTATATTAAACCAATTAGTACAAGTCTAACAATACAATTTGGTAAAAAAAGTGAAATCAATGTTTATAGTACAATTAAAAAAGATTTAATTGGTAAAATAAACATAAATATACCAAAAAATATTATTAATAACAACATCAATAACAATGGTACAACTGAAATTCTAGTTAAACCTGTTGCAGATTCATATTTAAGGCAAATAAAATTTTCATCTGTAAATTTAACAAGATCCAATGCAATCTATTCATCAGTTTTAAATATTACTATACCAATATTAAAAAAGGATGAATCATTACCATTTTTAACCAACATTACTTTAAAAATTATAAATAATCTTAATATTACAATAGATAATTCAAATATCAATAATTTTTGTTTGGGTTTTATAAATACAACAAATAATCAATGGGAATGTGTAAAAATTAAAAACAAAATTTTAAAATTAAAAATTATAAATAATGGTGATGGTGATGGTGATAAAACAAAACTAATGGTAATGGGACAAACGAATCACTTTACATGTTTTGGTGTTTTATTAAGAGGTGATAATAATTTCTTTTTAAATCAAAACAATAAAAACAATAAATATCGTGGCAATATAAAAGATGAAGAAGATGAAAAATACAATAGTAAAGGTGGTTTTAAAATACCCACTCCGATTTTAGTTGGCTCTATAGTTGGGGTAGTGGTATTTGTAATATTATGTGTTTGTATAATATTAATTATAGTATCCTATAAAAAACATGGTAATTTTAAAACTATGAAAAGTATATATATTGAAAGATTAAAATATAAAAGATCAAAAGGCAATGGTAATAATAATAACAATAATAATAATAATAATAATAACAATAATTCTAATAATAATGAAAATCCAAAACAAAAATAAACAATTATTTTTATTTTTTTAATTGGCGGCTTTTTGGAAAAAAGGAATTAAAATTTATTTTTTTTTTTTTTTTTTAAAAAAAGTAATTTTAAATTTATTTTTTTTTTTTTTATAAAATTTTATTTTTCATAATGAATATTTAAAAAGAATAAAAAACAATAACAATAATAACAATAATAGTATAATAATAGGAATAATAAGAATAACTTATTAACAATTGTATTTTAACAAAAATAATAAATAAATTTTTTCTTTTTAAATATAATAATAAAAATAATAATATATATATAATTAAAAATGGATACAATCGATGATGAAAAAATGGAACAAGAATTTTCAGATTTTTTAGATTCTGAAAAATCAAACTATAAATATGTAATAAACGATCTTATAGAAAATAATAATAAAAGAATATCTATATCAATCGATATAATGAGAAAAGTCTCACCAGAAATGACAGCAAAGTAAATATATAATTAAATAATTAAATAATAATAATAATAAAATAAATTAATATAATTCTCTTTCTTTTATAATTTTAGATTTTTAAGTAAACCATTAGATTTTATTGGACCATTTCAAAGAGTAGTTACAAGAAAAGTTTCAAATATTAAAAAAGGATTAATAGAAAAAATGGAAACTAATGAAGATGAAGATTATGATAAAGATTTAATTAAACAATATAAAGATTCACTTGATAAAGAAGTATTTGTTGGATTCGAAGGTAATTTAGGCTCAAGTCATGTTACACCAAGAGGTTTAAATGCATCATTATTATCACGTTTAGTTTGTGTTGAAGGAATTGTAACAAAATGTAAACTATATTTATTTAATAATATCAAAATATTAAATGATTATAATAAATTTACTAATTAGTATAATTTTGATTTTTTTAGGTTCATTAGTTAGACCAAAAATTATAAAAAGTGTTCATTATTGTGAAAAAACTAAAAAAACAATAAGTAGAACCTATGCAGATGCAACATCGGATTCAGGTATACCATCATCGACATCATATCCAACAAGAGATGAATCTGGTAATCCATTAATTACAGAATATGGTATGTGTCTATATAAAGATAGTCAAATGGTATCGATTCAAGAGATGCCAGAAAGAGCACCAGCAGGTCAATTACCAAGATCAGTCGATATTTTAATGGATAACGATTTAGTGGACCGTGTTAAACCGGGTGATAGAGTTCAAGTATTTGGTGTATATAGAGCCATTCCAATGAGTGCACCAGAATTAAAAACAACTAAATTTAGACCTATATTAATTTGTAATCGTATTTTAATGCTTAGTAAAGAAGTTAGTGGACCAACAATCACTGCTGAAGATGTTAGAAATATTAAAAACTTTTCATTACACGAGAATGGTTTCGATCTTTTAGCAACAAGTTTAGCACCGTCCATTTATGGCCACGATTATATCAAAAAATCTCTATTGTTATTGCTATTGGGTGGTGTTGAACAGAATCTTCCAAATGGTACCCATTTAAGAGGTGATATCAATTTATTGATGGTTGGTGATCCATCCACAGCAAAGTCTCAACTATTACGTTTTATATTAAATATTGCTCCATTGGCTATCAACACTACAGGTAGAGGTTCCAGTGGTGTCGGTTTAACTGCCGCTGTAACCAATGACTCTGAAACAGGTGAACGTCGTTTAGAAGCAGGTGCCATGGTTTTAGCAGATAGGGGAATTGTATGTATAGATGAATTTGATAAAATGAGCCCAGACGATCGTGTGGCCATTCACGAAGTTATGGAACAGCAAACCGTTACAATTTCAAAAGCTGGTATTCATGCATCATTAAATGCTCGTTGTTCAGTAGTAGCCGCTGCAAATCCAATCTATGGCAAATACAATCCAGACTTAAAAGCACACACCAACATTGGTTTACCAGATTCATTATTATCACGTTTCGATCTTTTATTCATCGTTTTGGATAACGTTAACCCCGACCACGATAGAATGATATCTGACCACGTTCTTAGAATGCACAGATACAAAGACGAAGGCGCTGAAATGGAAACATTCTTGCAGTCTGAACAAATCTCTACATTAGGTGGTGAACTTTCAAACGGACTATCAAAAAATAACTCTAATGCCGATATCGATACACCAATCTTTCAAAAATATAATCGTACACTTCATGGTAATGAAAAATCATATGACATTGTTTCAATTCCATTCATTCAAAAATATATACATTACGCCAAAACCATTATCAAACCCAAACTATCTGAAGATGCAAGAAAATATATTATTGAACAATACACTGACCTCAGATCAAAACAAACCAACAACTCCTTACCAATTACAACTCGTACATTAGAAACTATGATTCGTTTATCACAAGCCCATGCAAAATGTAGATTAGATCGTAATGTCACTCAACGTGATGCCGAAGTAGCTTATGAAATTATGAACAAGGCATTAAGTGATTCAAATACAAAAGAAAGAGAAAAAGAAAGAATCAATAGCAATAAAAGAAAAAATAAAAAAGATAATGAAGAATCTTATAATGATGATGAAATTATAGATGAAAATATGAAAGATAAATTGGATGAAGAAATTTTTGATAATGATAATGATGATAATTTTGATATAAATAATAACAATAATAACAATAGTAATAATAATAGTAAAAACAATAGCAATAATAAAAATAATAAATCAACAAATGATACAACTAAAAAAAGAAAAAAAACAAATGATAATGATAATACAACTTTAAAACCAGTATCAAAGAATAATGACAATAAAAAATTAAACAAAGCAATTGTTGAATTACTTGCAAAAGGTGAAGGAAAAATGGATAAAAATCAACTCATTAAATCACTATCAGATAACTTTTCAAATGAAGAAATTAATACAACTTTAAATAATTTAGAACAAAGAAAACTTATTACAACTATTAAAGGTATTGTAAGATCCAATATCCAATAAAAGTAAAAAAAAAATAAAGAAAAATAAAATATAAAATATAAAATAAATAAAAAAATAAAATGTAAATAAATCTTAATCAATCAATTTTATTTTGTTTTTGTGTTTTTTGCAAAAATATAAAAAAAAAAAAAAACTAAACACATTTTTTAAAAACAAATTTAGTAATTTAAATATTTATATATCTTTATTTTTTTGTTTATTTTTTTTTTTTTTTTTTTTTTTTTTAACTATTCTTTTAATAAACATTTGTTTTCTTTTCTTTCTTTTTTTTTAAAGTTTAAATATAGAATGAAAAAAAATAGGAGGCAATTTTTTATTTTTTTTTTTTTTTTATATTTTTTTTATTTTTTAAAAAAAAAAAAAAAAAATTTTCGTTTTTTTAAATTTTTTGTTAAAAAAAAAAATTTTATTTTTATTATTTTTTTTACACATATATACAACTCATTTTATAAAATTTTATATTTATTTGTTTAAAAATCTATTTTTTTTTATTTTTATTTATTTTACATACTTTTTTTATTATATACTTTTGTAAAACATCACTCAAACATATATACATATATTGAAATATATTCTTTTTTTGTCTATAATTTCATTTTCAAATAAACCATTTTATCTTTTTTTAAACTTTTTTTAAAAAAATTATTTTTGACCTCAACTAGTAAGTATATTTAAATTATAGATTGATCATATTATTCATAGTAGTATTTGTAATATATAATTCAATAAATAAAAAGATAGATAGACAGATAGAAAAAAAAAAAAAAAAAAACCAACCAAATTTTCATATTAATATAAAAAAAAATACGAGTTCACATCTCACATCTTCAATAACAAAAAAAAAAAAAAAAAATTTAAAATTTTTATAGAAAAATAAATATATAATCATTATTATCTATAAAAATAGATTCATTAAATCAATAAATCAGATACCAATAAAATATAATAACTCATCAATATAAAGATTTGTCTCTTTTTTTTTCATTCTTTTTTTTTTTTTTTTCTTTTTATTTATTTTTTTTTTTTTCATAAAAATTTTAAAAAAAAAATTTTAATTTTTTTTTAAATTTTTTTTTTATTTTTTTAAAAACTATAGCCATAATATCATCCGAAAATTTTTTTTTGAAAAATAAACAAAAAAAAAAAAAAAGCTATACATAAACACATACACATAAAATATTTAAATAACTTTATAAAAATAATCCCTATAATATTCTTTATTATATTTTACTACTTTTATATTTACCAAGTTCAAAAATTTTCAAATTTTTTAATTTAATTTTCTTAAAAATAAATATCTAATATTTTTTTTTTTTTCCTTTATTTCTTTTATTTTAATATAGAAAAACAGTAGTTTTGTTTTTTAGTATTAAATTTTTATTCCCCAATCTTTTTTTTCCATAGAGAGAGTAAGTTTTTTTTTTTTTTAATATTTTTTTTCACACACCCACTATCAAATTTTTTTTTATAAAAAAAAAAAACCCATACATCAAACTAATTTTTTTTTTCTTTTATTAATTTTTTTATAACAATTTTAAAATAGTTTTTTTTTCAAATTAAATTATTATAAACTTTTTTTTATTTTTTTTAATAAATTATTAAATATATATACATAATATAATGTCATCAAATAACAATGAAGTAGAGTGCTTAGTTGAACCTACATCTAAAATTTCAATCACAGAAGAAAATAAACAAGAAAATAAAGAAACCACCACCACTACCACCACCAATACAGATAATAAAGAAGAACAACCACAAGAAGAACAACCAAAAGAAGAACAAGAACAAGAAGAACAACAAGAAGAAGAACAAGAACAACAAACAGAAAATCCAGAAAATTTAATTAAACATCCACTTCAAAATAGATGGTCCTTATGGTATGATTATCAAAGTGGTAAAATCAATCCAGAACATTGGGTTGACTCATTAAAAAAGGTTATTAGTTTCGATTCAGTCGAAGATTTTTGGTGTGTTTTCAATAACCTTCCAAATGTTAGCAATTTAAAACAAGGTAGCAGTTATCATTTATTTAAAGACGATATCGAACCAAAATGGGAACACGAATCAAATAAAAGAGGTGGCAAATGGTTTGTTATGGTTAAAGATAAATCGCGTTGTGATAACCAATGGCTTCAATCTGTTATGGCTTGTGTTGGTGAAACTTTTGACTCTAGTGATGAAATTTGTGGTATAGTTTATAATTCAAGAAAGAATGGTGATAAAATCAGTGTTTGGACAAAGAATGCCCACGATGAAAAAGCAACTAAAGATATTGGTTACTGTCTTAAAAAAATTTTAGAAGTCGATAATACTATTTCTTATACTCCACATGAAGATGTTATGAGAACATCAAAAGGTGCCAAAAATTTATATGAATGTTAAATAATAATAATCAATCTAATTAATTAATTAATTAACTAATTAATTAAATAATAATCAATTAATAATAATAATAATAATAATCATTTTTTAAAAAAAAATAATTATATATATAAAATAATAATAATTTTTTTTTTTTTTTTCATTTAAAATTTTAAAAAAAAAAATAATTTCAAATCATACTCCCCTCCCCATTCCCTTTTCATCAATCATCATCATCAAAATCACAATTCAACCAAAAATCTCAAAAAAAAAAAACTTGTTGTATTTATTTATTTATCAATTTTTTTCCAAATATATTTAAATAATTTATTTTCAATTAATCCAACTACAACCAATTTCAATACATTTTTTTTTAATTTTTTTTTTTTTTTATAATAATTAAACCATTTTAAAAAATTCAAAAAAAAAAAAAAAAAAAAAAAAAAAAAGGGTAAAGGCCCCTCACTATCGGCCCAACAAAAACCACCCTCCCCCCCTACTTAAAAAAATTTTAAAAAAAAAATTAAAAAAAAAATTTAAAAAAAAAAATAAATAAAAAAATTTAAAAAAAAAAAAAAAAAAAAAATTATCATTTTTATTTATTTTTTTATTTTTAAAATTATATTATTATAATTTTAAAAAAAAAACCATAATTTATTTTTTATAATTTCTTTAATAATAATATATATCTTTTTTTTTTTTTTTTTCAAAATATTTATAAATTTTCATTATTTTATAAAATTCGTTTTTACTAAAATTTTTTCAAAAGTTATCAAAAAATAATTAAAAAAAAAATGAATAATAATTCAGAAAATGAAGATAATAATATAAATAATAATGATAGTAATAATCAAGATAATCAAAATAATTTAGAAAATAATTATAATAATAATGATGAAGAAGAATTTTTAAATAAAATTATTAAAATTAGAATAGATAATTTTTTAGAAGAAGAAGAAAAATTATTTTTAGCAAATGGTGAAAATTTAAAAATAATATTTAAAATATTATGTGAAAAGAATAATAATCAAATTGAAGAGAATGATATAATAGAGTTTAGAGAAACAACTTTAACTTTGGTAACATTAATTTGTAATTTATTAAAGAATGATATAGAATCATTTATACCAGTTTTAGATGAATTTTATTCAACAATAATATTTATGTTAAAGGAATTATATTTATCATCAATTAATTCAACATCATCAGTAGCATCATCATCATCATCATCATCATTATCAATTCATAATACTAGCGGCGGCGGCAAAAAGAGTAATAGTTTTTATAAATCACCAACATCAGATAGCGAAGACGATTCATCATTTTTATCAACACAACGTAATGTTATATCACCAATTATAAATAGAATAAAAAAGAGTGAAAATATTAGATTATCAACTAATAATACTCAAAGTAATAATCCAAGACAACAACTTTATAATATTATTTCAGTAACAATGTTGGGTACAGTTTGTTTATTATTTCCATCCAATGAAAAATTATTATCAAAATCAATACCATTCTTATTTGAAATTGGTCATTATAAATCTCAAACACAAAGTTTAATAATTTCAACTATATCATCAGAAATTATAAATAGACCAAAAATTTTATCAAATTATGTTTTAGAATTTATTAAAGTAATATTTTTTAATTTTTTTAATTTTTTTTAATAATAATTATATTAATTTTTTTATTTATTTTTAGTTTTCAAAAGATAATCCAAATGTATTTTCAATAATTGCAAGTTTATATCAATATAATAAGCAAGATTTTGAAAAGAATTTAAATGTTTTAATTGAATGTTTCAAAGAGCCAGAAAGTAGAATTGGTATATTGTCAATTATTAGTGAAATTTCTAAGGTATCACCATTAATTATTATACCTTATTTAAAAGTTTTAAAATTATCACTATCTCAAGTTTCACTATCAAGTCAATTTTCAATTATTTTAAAGATTTTAGCCCAAAAGTATCCATTTACCATTTCAACGATTTCAAGTGATTTAATTTCTGCTATGGATAATAATGATTCTTTAAAATATTCTTTACCAGAAATTTTAGGAATGTGTGGTCCAGATAAAACTAAACTAGTATATCAATATCTTTATTCATTATTAAAGAAACAACAAGAAAAAGCACCAAGATCTTCAGAAGATGATCATATAGTAGTATCGATTTTAAAAGGTTTTAAATCAATTTATAAAACATCACCAAATTTAATCAATATTAGAGATCCATTATTACAATATTTTTCAACAAATGGTAGTGAATTTATTTTATCATTTTTAAATACATTAGTAGATGAATTTACATTATCACCTCAACAAATAGATGATATGGAACAACAACAACAACAATTACAATTACACAACAACAACAATTACACAACAACAAGAAAAATTTGAACAAATTAATGAAAAAATAAATTCATTTTCACCATTATAGAATCAGCCATTGAAAATTCAGAAAAGAAAAACAAACTCAGTAGATTAGAAAATACCTTAGATCATCAAATGAT